CCCCAAAACCCCAAAACCCCAAAACCCCAAAACCCCTAATATTCTTCTAAATATTGACCTTAACTTTACCCTATAAAGCCTCAAAAGGGACCTTATACTTCTTATAAACAGCTTCATTAAATGTTGATACTGGGACAGCAAATCTTGGATCCCATTGTTTCTTTTTAGATGACCCTTTCCTCGAAGTCTGAGCTGCCATCTGAGTCCGTAAGGAACTGGTAAAAGCTACATTGTTAGTCAAACCAGCCTGGGATGGGTTAGAAGAAGCCCAGAAGGAAGTTTTGCTTAACTCTCTGACCCTGCTACGATGACTTGCTCCTCTTTCTTTAATCAAGCGTTTCTTTAACTGCTTCCTCTTTATTTTATCAAATTTAGGATTTACGATATCTGGCTTGCCAGCTTCGTTTTCGTACACCATCATTGGAGCAGGTCTGGGTGTAAAATGGTAGCCTCTAGCATCATAATGAATAGGTTTATCGAAAAACTCCTTATAATCATTAAAAACCCTGTTGTTGTTCTTAGAATTAGTGATGTTAAATCTCTGGTTCCACTTATTTCTCTCTCAAAAGATCCTCCATCGACCGATGCCTGCTATGCTTCAGAGCTGGGAAGAACTGCCTGTGAGTCTGAGCTCCTACATCCTTCTCAATGGTCTTTAGTTTAGTAAAGACCTCTGGCTTTCTTCCTTTGTTGAATTGTCTAAAAGACCTAGTATTTTCGAATAATTTGTTAGCTCCATCGCCAGGCTGGAAAATACCTTCAGTGAGGTAAAATCTTGGATTCCATTTATTTTGGCTTTTTTAGAACAAATTTTAAAGATGCTTTTTTGCCATTTTTGACAGATTTAGAGCCTTTCTGGGCCTGCTTAGGGCTCTCTGGACCAGAAGAGGCTTCCTGAACCCCAGTGTGTTGTTCTGGTGCAACAACTGGTTCAGATTTTGCATTTTCATTTTGTTTTGAATTATTTTCATGCCTGATTTGAGAGGTTTCAGGTTCTTTGTCTAACACAGTTGGGTCTTCTTTAGGCCTGAGCACCGGCTGGAGATTGTGAGAAGGAGAAGCAACAACTTCGTGCTCACCCTCTTGGTCGCTTATATGTGGTCTATGAGGTAAAGAATCATGCTCAGATCCATCCTTGTCCTGTCTGGGTTGAGTTTTATCCTGAGTTTCAGAGTTAGACACATCTTTAGAAGCTTCTTGTAGCCTAACTTGGCCATTTTCTGACATTATTTTGGGGAATAAGTTTGTTAAATTATTAATTTTATTATATTTAAGGGGTTTTGGGGTTTTGGGGTTTTGGGG